GTTGTGGGATCAGTGATCGAGAGGAAAAGTTCATCAACCTTCTAAAGCCAAAAATCTTTTCTCTATTCATTAAATATAAACAGTACAACCTCTTGAATATCGTAATAACAAATAATAAAACAAACAGTAAAACTAAAAATGACCCGGATTAACGGCAGGAAAATTCGTAGTGAAATAAGCAGCACCAAGTTAAGAATTAGTCGGATCGAAGATGAGTAGCCCAACTCAGAGGTACCCATGTTGGTTTCGTTTCCAGATCATCAATGAGACGAAGCAACTGCGTACAGCTTTCCTCGAGATCCTTATTGATTAAGGTAGCATCCAATAAGTGGCGATATCTAAAATTTGAGGCCTCAGTGATTTTAGTGTCAATAAAAAAGGGGTGGGGTCGCAGTGCGTGCGGTCGCGTTGCGGCTAGTCTGAACACTGGGTCAGTTATTGACTTATAATAACTCCTCTTTGAGCTTTGATAAAAAAATCTTTTTTTGAGACATAACTAATGAAAAAACTGAATTTTCCAATCAAACATACTGAACACCGTTTTGTAGGTCCAGACGCTGCACAATTGCATGTAAGATTGCAACCCCTAATTTTAAAACAGTAGAAATTGTAACTGGCCAAAAGCACGGCGCGATTAGGAAATAAAGCAAATGGGAGCCAAAGGTAAACAAATAAACAGTTATTAATTGTCTATCGTCAATCAAAAAACTCACTGTTTATATAATAAAGCACTGCTTTCCAAGACCTGTTCAATTTCTGTATCAGTGAAAAACCGTCCGCAACCCCCTCTCTTCAGAGTAGAAGTAGAAGCGCGTGTACTTTGCGATCCAACAGCTCGAGTAGCCTAAACCTATATCATAAGGAAGATGAAAACTTTCCGACTTTTCGACCAATGGTGAACGAATATCCAATCAAATAGTTCATTTTGCCCTACCTTGAATGTTACCTTATCCGGTGGTTGGATAAAAATGATAAAAGGCATGAATTCAGAGGTTCGCAATAGTGGTAGTGCCAGGGGATGAGGGGTGATAAGCAGAGTTCCTCGACGTTTTGCGTCACGCACAGAGGCTAAGGCGGTCCCGTACAAATTACCTGAAAAGCAGATAGGCCGTTTATACCGTTATAGGGAGATTGCTTCAAAACAACTTTGACAATCGGTTCTCTAAGGTGGGGCGTAGACAGAATGGCAAAGGACATGGTCACACACAAGATTTGTTAGGCACCCGGACTGATCCCAACTTCCCCTTCCTTGCTTCATTTTGGGATTGTGGATATGCCTTCATTTATTTTGAAGTTTTGTCTTCTTTAACGCCTTATTAGATGACACCGAAATTTTATGAACCTGTGGTTCGTGTTCTAAGCACGGAGGAAGGTTTGTAAGGATGCTCGAGTGGGTCACCATAGTCTCCCTTTACAACATACCTTTATATTCTCCATACTCCAGCATCTGACCAAAATATATCATTTTCTCCATCACCGGCCTTTCCACAAAATAGTAGTCAACGCCTTCAACCTCTCCAACCCTAAACGGGTCAGATATAATAGCAAGACCGGTCAAAATATAAAGCCAATTTAAAGAAATGACGCTTAATCGCCATAAGCCAGATAATCAGTGAATCTTTAATTTTTGAAATTACTAAAATCACCTCATTGCCCTGGTAGTATGAGGTACGGTAGTGGAAAATCGTTGAGGGTATCGCGCTAATAGACGCCGTTTTAGTTCATTCCTTAACAAAGTCAATAAAAAGCGATACAGACTCTTATCATCAGAATATGACAAACAGCAAAAAAATACGGTAAATGTTAGCAAATTTTGAGAAAATCAATGATACCTCCCAACTCCAGGCGGTCCTAGTAGTACGACGATCCTCGATGCATCTTCCCGGGGGGCGACACGGCATACCGACTCATAGATTAGTTCCGCCTTGAACATTGTGTTTATTTTGATGGGAAATAGCCATTTAGATTATTGCAATTAAGCATTTGATATTAGGAAAGAGTGGGATTAAAATATGCTACATGTACTGGGTGTAACCTTGTTTTCGATCTGCACGCCCAAGTAGGCCCGTGGAAAAAAGATGGGAGCAAAACCATGGGTAACTTACATCGTGGCTACCCTTTGATCGAATCGATCCCCGACTATCTGTTTGCTTCTGCTCATGCTCTGAGGTAGCTTTAGCTAGTTGAAGAGCTTCTGATGGTATCAGGCCTATCCTTGAAGACCCTAAAGCAGCACTGCCTTCATGACGCAGCAAAATCGGAAAAAAATACATTTGATTAGCTCTACCTTTGATATCATCACAATTCGCGAACGCACCATTTCCTATACGACGTGCCTTCAAAGTCGATAGTTAGCGACAGAAATAATTTGCTGAATTTTGATTTTTGAATTTTGACTTACCTGCCACCAATGATCATCATTACACGCAAGTAGCTCAAGGATATCTCCCTTACTAAATGCAATTGACACTTCGGGGCAGGGATGTCGCTCATCGTTCTTACCATTGTAGTCATACTAGAGCGGCAATAAAACTTTAACAACAACAAAAACAATGTCAACAACAACAACTAACCTGGGCTCTTATATACACATGAGGAGTACCATTCTCGCTACGGGTGGGAATATCGGCAGGGACCAATTTCAGAGTAACAGTACCATGATCAACACGATTAAGAATGCGTGCCACATCGTCTACAGAAAGTTCTGCAATGGGCAAGCCATTCACTTCCAAAATACGATCGCCTTCCTGGAAAATGATGAGTTGAGGACCTTATGGCAAGCAATCTGGGAGTCCTGATTCGGAGGCAAATAGTCAGTATTCGCCCTTATACTTACAATGCCCTGGAGGTTAAGCAGCACCCCTGTCTTATCAATCAAACCCGTTTTCTGTCGTCTGAACTCTTGCGCCGGAGTGAAGATCTTTGATGTTGATTTTTGAACCATACAGCTCGTCAATCGTGATAGGTGACTCATTTGTCAAATAGTCCTCTCCATGAAGCGCCCATTCTCTTGTACCCCGCCCTATTATTTCGCACCAAATGAACTAATGTTAGCAGCTGTTCTCTATTTATCCCTGCTGTGGCTCATGCGGTAGGAGGTCTCAAATTACTGGTTAGAAGTATGTGTTAATTACAACAAATAGCCCTTAAGCCCTTGATAAACAGTAAAAACCAAATCTATGTGTTTCAAGATAATAATGTCAATAAGAGATTAACAAATACAAATAAATAAAAATTTCCGCATAGGAGATAGGCCCTCACCTGAATGCAAGCACTTCGAGCTGCCACACCACCGGCTATCAATCGAGCTATGTAGATCTTTCCACAGTCGTTTTTCAGGGTTACACCAATGGTCTCGTCTCTTTTTACTATTCGAACCTTAAATAAAGTAGTTGCTTGCTTCTGGGTCATTCCTAAAGAAATGGGAAAGTATAGATACATAGTTTGAGAGAACTTGAGGGAAACCAGAAACAAAGTATCACAGTCATCTAGTATGAATCAGTTTATTTTATTAGAACATGTATCTTACGTAGATGAATTGAGTAATATAAAATGAAATTGATATAACTGATAAAAACCTGAACTGGCTATGAAAAACTCACAACTTTCACGACGATCCCTTCGTCTTCATCCACTTCGAATGGAATGGCTGGTAGCTTTGGTAGATATTTATTGCTTGCAACATCCTCTACGCTTATCATCAAGCCCTACAGAACCACAACTTAAGTTTTTGGTTAATTTAAAATGGGTAAATATCGGATCAATTCCAAAAAATCGGTGGTCCTGGTCCTGGATTGTCAAATAATATCGGCCAGAAATCTTACCCGGATATGTGGCCGATTCAGGAGAGCGATAAGCTGTTGTACAGCTGCTGATTTGATACCAGTTGATTCCCAATTACTGATAAACGTATCACATAGGGAGGTTGTTTCAGCAGCCCTTAAATTGGAAAGTGTCTAGGCGTACTAAAACACCCACGACGTTTGCTTTTACATTAATTGAAACCAAGCAAGATAAAATGATTGTTCGGTATTCGTTTGCACACAATTTGCATGCTATAAATATTTTGTAGATAGATATTTCTAAAAATATTTCGTTTTTTCCCTCGTACAATACCCTTAAACCAGTGTAAGGTAGAGGTACGGGTTCCGCTCAACATGAAGGATCGACTTTGCAATCGTTTTACCTTACTTGGTACTGACCCTAGGGGCTACCTACATGACTTTATGGGTAAAATGCAGAAATTTGAGTAAAATGAGCCAAACTCGGATGAAAAGATAGAGCTCACAATCGGTCCAGCTTCAATTCACCAGACGTGGCAAGCTCATGTAGACTGCGGACGACGTTCTTCTGGCTTTCCGTCAACGTCTTTGCTACCGCTTGCTTCCTACCGTATTCCTCGGACAACGAATGAAGAATTTCGTTGAATTTTTCAATGAAGTCGTTTGAATCCTTCTTCGATTCCTTACCCGCCCCATGACTCATACTTGTTGAGAAGTCTCATTCAAACTTCTTCATCTGGAACTGATTCTGAAAAAGTCTACAAATTGGTCTTAATATAAACGTCTGGGAATATAAACGCCCGAACACTTGAAGAGATGTCGGAAAGAGACTAAATGAGGAACGAAGGAAATTCAAAAGACAAAACGGCCTCCACATCGGGGGAACTTCAGCAGAAGCGTGTGCTTTTAAGTTCATGATTTCCTAGCCATAACGGAAAACAAAAAGTGGAACCACCAGTTCTGTTTTTCAAAGTATGTTCCGCTACGGCGGTTGTAAAGATTCCCGAGCACTTTGCTGGAGAGCACAACGGGAGAAATCCTCAGGGACGTCTATCGGACACCTCAAAAACGATGAAAAACTGGGAAAAAGCCATTTATTCGAGTGGCATATTGCACTCGCATATGTCGATTTTCTAAAGGCTGTCTTATTGAATGAAAGATGAAAGGCCAGATTAAAAGCGCTCCATTGAATCTTACTCCCAGAACTTCTCCGGAGACCACTTAAGCTCTGAGCACTCATTCCACGAAAAAATAGCTAAGTGGAAATTGGCGTAATGGAAGCCACGAAGTACTTTGAAAAAAGTGCTAACTCTAAAATATTACTTCCAAAACCAAGATTTTCAAAAATTACAGTTGTAAGTAATACCTGAAGACTGAGTTCAAATTTGTAGAATGGAGAGTAATTACTGCATTCTGTTAGTGGTAGCCA